ACAGTATGTGAGGGGCGTAACATTTCCGTCTCACGCTTGAGGTATTCGGCCAATCACAACGCATTGGATAGCTGGCCAATCACAGCACACCTCGCTTTTTCAGACCGATGAGCTTTGTAAAAATTGACGCGTTTCAGAAAGGCGGGGCATAGAGGAGAAACAATAATGTACAGTATGTGGAAAATAATGTTTTTTTTTTACTTTAAACCGCATAAAGACATTTCATTACACCAAATACACAAAATAATGTTCTTTTTAGCAGCATCATATGACCCCTTTAATTCATACAGATAGAACTGCAATTATTTCTGAGTCTGACAAGCTGCTTTATTTTTACAGAACAGCCCTGAGGAGGAAGTTGAGCTTAAAAAGCTCAAAGACATTGAAAAGTCAGTGGAACAAACTGCCAAGAAGCTTGAGAAGGTGGATGGTGAACTCACAGGACTGAAGAATGTATGTGTGACATGGATAAAAATCTCTTTATTTTTCTTCTTGAACACTACTTGTTATAAGAGGCTTGGCAATATGGTCATTTTATAATTTAATGAATTATTTTCAGGGTTTTCTTGCAAAAGAGTTGCAAGCTGAGGCTCTTAACAAACTGGACCACAGGGTGAAAGTTGCCGCTGAGCAGTTCATGAAAATCCTAGAGGAAATAGATGGAATGGTAATTGTTTTTCATTGTTGTTATATTCTTAAAATTTGTTGTTATGTTGTTCTTAAAGTTATCACGAAATGAAAATCTATTTTGTAAATGCATGTGAACTTACTATTAAAGACTTATTCATGCATGTTTAATTTTCACCTTGTACTTTTTAATCAAAATATTATAACTCAGCATTCCGGTGAAATGACAGTCTTATCTCTTGTGACGTATGTTGGACTTCTCCAATCATTTAGTCGATTAAACCCTGCCCCTTCACAATCGACTCCAAGCTCACATTCATTTTGGAGTGCAACAGCCACATCTCAAAATCCAATCAACAACTGATGGATAAAATCAAGCTCCCGCCGACTTTTCTTTTTCCGATAATCAGTTACGCTCAGATGTGCGACACAGTAAGGATGATAAGATCTGTTGTTTCATTGTGAACTGATTATTTTTATCATTATTTATATATTTTTGTTCCTTAAATTACAGTATATTGGATATAGTTAAATACCGTTGCTCAGTAAAGCTTATTTGTGCCTTTTTATATTGATTATTTACAGAACTTGCCTGAGAGTTTTAGTGATTGCAGGATGAAGAAAAAAGGACTTGAGAAAACTGTTCAGGTTCGATTATGACTTATTAAAGTAGTTCACCCCAAAATTAAAACGTGCTGAAAATTTACACACCCTCAGGCCATCCAAGATGGAGATGAGTTTGTTCACTTGCATTGGATCCTCTCCATTGAATGGGTGCCGTCAGTGTGAGTCCAAACAGCTGATAAATACATCACAATAATCCACAAGTAATCAACACGACTACCAAAATACCAGTCTATAATCCATCCAGTGAAAAAGTCCATCCCATGTTGTCCTCTCACATCAAAATCAATCAACATATTTTTTAGAACTGTTTTGGACAGTTTTCGCTTGTAAGCAGTGCTTGATATGTGTCTATTTCTCTTATGATTCAGACTGGATGAATTTTTCACTGGCAAATGCAAGATTATTTGTATTTTAGCAGGAAGCCATGGTTTCAAGTTGAAAACTTTCTAATCAGCATTTTGCTAAACAAAATGTGGATTACTTGTGGATTATTGTGATGGTTTTTATCAGCTGTTTGGACTTTCATTCTGATGGCACCTATTCACTGCAGAGGACCATTGGTGAGCAAGTGATGTAATGAAAAATTTATCCAAATCTGTTCCGATGAAGAAATAAAATTACACCTTGGATGGCCTGAGGGTGAGTAAATGTACATTTTTAGGTGACCTATTCCTTTAATATTGGGCTTTAATTAAGCACCTTAGACTTAAACATACCCATGGCCATTATTTGATTTCTTAAATATTGTTCTCTTTATTTTCCTCATACTCAGGGTTTCTTAGCACAGTGTGACAAAATTGAAGCTGGAATATCAGACCACTTGGCTAAGATTCAGACAAAAAACTTAGCCTTAGCAGAATGATCATGAATTAAGACTCCTGACATCAGTAGTTACTGGTGCTGCAAATGAAGAACCTCACTGAGAGCTTTGGCACTGGAGGTGCAGTTGGCCTACACCCCACAACCTACACATGCACCTGTTGTACAGAGAAAAACACGCAGCATTCGAAACATTTTGAAATAGTTTTCTTATGAGTTTAGATTTTTCATGCTAATTGTTGTTGGAAATGCTTATGGCTAGGTTTAGGGAGTTTTGACCATCTAGACCACACTGTTCTCTCTTTAAACGTTATCTAGCCTGACAGATGTTGGATTCATAGTCTTATTTTGATCAAAGAGGAAAAAAACGATGCTGGAAGAATACCCTTTTAAAGGATCTAACATAAATAAATGATCAAATTCAATAAATCGATTTTGTGCAGTAAAAAATTTCTATTTATGAAAAGAGTGAACGAAGCAAAGCAAAAGCAAAAGATTGTAGAATTGATAGTCCTTGTTTTGTTTTTATCATGATTAAATCTCAGGGTGCTTCAAACCACTGGTGGTTTTTCCCATCAATTTCTGTTTCAAATGTTGTTGTCAAGTTATTGAGAGAAATTAAACATTTGAAGACAACTTTTGTGTCGTCTCAGTAAATCTTTGGCAATTTGTCCTGTTCTGTACGATTTTAAATCTACAAGGTTTCAATGATATTATGAATTAAAATACTAAAATCCTGTTTTTTAAGTGTAAAGAAATGTTGAGAGAAACTCTAAACTGACTTTTTCGTAAAATGTCCCACATTCTGTAATGAAAATTTGATGACTTAACTTATTTCTAATTGTTTATTACAAGTGTAAACATCCAGAAACTCCAGGCTACATTGAATAATTCCAGAATTTATTTCTCAACATTTACATACCAGAACAGCATTCACTCACTTTGAGGTTTACCACAGATTACATGTCTATGTATTTCATAGTTATGTACAAGCCTACGTAGACTGTTACAGTCAAATGATTTTGCCTGATTAATGTATCCCTTTGCACTATCCCATGAATGTGGGGGAAAAGAAGACAGTTAAACATGTTGTAGTGTTACAGTGTAGTTTTCTTTAGTTTCAGTAGTGCTTGGCCTTGTCCTAATCATCCTTATCTTTAGCACCATGTTTCAGTATGCGAGTGAATTCTACATAGTTGAAGTTCCCTTTCTTGTCAATAGGGGCCTCTCTAAACAACTCATCTACTTCTTCATCTGTGAACCTGTCTCCCATAGTGGTCAAGAGCTCCCTCAGGTAGTCCTCCTGAATAAAACCTAGGACAAATGAGGCAAACTGGTTATCAACACAGAAAATAACTTGTGTAATGTTTATCAAATACATCATATATTCATCTAATTTTGGTTATTCAGACAGACTAATTATACAGATCACCAGTCTTAATTGCTGTTTTATTTCAGTGTTTTGATCATGCTTACCCGTCCCCTCCTCATCAAAACAAGCAAATGCATTTTTGATAACATCCTCAGGATCTGTGCCATTAAGTTTCTCTCCAAACATTGTGAGGAACATGGTGAAGTTAATGGGACCAGGGGCTTCATTCATCATCGCCTCAAGGTATTCATCTGTGGGGTTCTTACCTGCCAATGAAATAACCTGTCAGTCAAAAGCAGTTCTTATCTGATTAAATGTAGCTTTTAAAGAGACAGCTCACCCAAAAATTAAAATACTGTCATCATCACCAAACCTGTACGAGTTTCTTTATTCTGTTGAGCACAAAAGAAGATATTTTGAAGAATGTTGGTAATCAAACAGTTTACAGTAGCCACTGACTTCCATAGTATAGAAAACAGTACCATGGAAGTCAAAGGGGACCATCAACCGCTCAAAGCATATTCTTTTGTGTTCAGCAGAATAAAACTAAATGATAATAGCAATATATGGCTTTTCTGAATATTAAAAAAAGCTTGTATCTGATTAAGACTTAACCTTTACTCTATCAAATTCTGTAAATACTATTAAAAATATAATATTAGTAAAAACTGAGTTTTATTTAGAGCTCAGTTTATGATCATATATTTTTTAAGTATTTATGAGGAAAAAAAGTGAAAGTGATGTCCTTTAGAAGGAAACTGGGTCATTAAGGGCCAAGGATAGAAGATAAAACCTTTCTGCTTTGCCAGTTCTATATTGTCCTTACCTAATGAAGCCAACATATCATGCAGATCTTCCTTATCAATGAAGCCATCACGGTTCTGATCGATCATGTTAAAGGCCTCCTTGAATTCCTGGATCTGGGACTGGTCGAACATGGCAAACACGTTGGACGTGGCCCGCTGGGGGCGCTTTTTGGTGGTTTTCCCCTTAGCCCTTTTGCTAGACATTTTGACAATTTTGTCCTATTGAAACTAAAATAATAGAGACATATTGCTTGTTAGGCTTGCACATAAACTTTCAGCAAAGATTATACGAATACATGAGCTATTAAAAAGAATGACGAAAACTCATTCAGCAACCATATTGTCAACCACAATGAATTTTGCACAATTTTGAACAACATACTTTTAAGACAAACAGACCACTGTGTGTATAAGACTGTGGTTATGAGTTTGTTTAGCTAAGTTAACTGCGTTAATATTAGCTGAGCAGCCCAATAACGTTAGCTAACTAGTCAACAACTGAGTAAGTTACTTAAATTCTTTAAAGCTGACGTTATGTTTATTTTGATACATAATTTCAGTTCCTTCGTCCAGATTCAAACATACTGTCTTTGTAAAAGCACTACGTTAATGGTCAATAATAAAGCTTGTTGTGTTGACAGGAAGCAGCTTAACAATTACAAATAACGTTAACCTAGCTAGCAACGGAGCTGGCTTGTTTGTAGTCTGTCGTGTGTAATACAAATCTAAAACTATAACGTCAGATAAAACGCATACTGAAATACTGATGCCACAAATTTAGTAAAATTTCACATACCTATTCCGGTAAAAAAAAAAAAAAGAAAAAGAAAAAAGGCAGGACACCTAAACAACGGCTGCCACGCTTGTTATTAACGCACCACAGGACCCCCCTGTAGATTAGTGCAATGGGAAAGTCCCGTCGACAGATCAGGGACTGGAATAGCCCATGCCTTATCCTGTAGGGGTAGGTTCAAATGATCAAATAGGAAGAATGCCGCAATGACTGCTAAAATGAGTCAGTTGTTACAGTAAGGTAACGGGTGTGTTTATTGTATTATGGTTTCTATATATTAGCTAAGGTCAGTTTAATTGTACTTTAATTAAATCGATTTAGCTAAATTACAATTTAAGCTGTTATCAATTTAAAGTAATGGATTTTTTTTATATTACATAAAGCTAATTTATGTAATAATCAATACCATTTATATATCAGATATCAATATACTATCTGTTATAAAGTTAGTTTCGATCCTTCAATTTTAATGCACTCTGTTTTCTTTTGGAATTTTCCTTTGCCGGGAAAATAAGAGAGTATTTATGAGATAAATAACCAGCTGTGGTAAAAACGCAAATCAAGATATTGTTTAATGGAATGTTTAAAATAAAAAAACTATATCATTTATGTTCTACTAGAGTTGATCACATGCTGCTCGAGGCCTATAACAGCAGTCTTGTGATATTTCTTTAATAAAATATTGTTGCGTTGCCTTTGTTGTTTAATCGTGTTTATAAATTGAATTACGCGCGTTGCCCAAGTTCACATGTTGAAACTGCCTGGCCCTTAGTCAGGGTCTATATTTAACAGATCTAGTGGCCATACAAGGTCGTGGCTGGACGCTGCAATCTGCAGAGTGGCAGCATTATTTTTGTTCAGTGAAGTCTCGTCCTGTCGGCTGCCCCATACCCGCCGCTGTGCCTGGATTTTCACTGGCTTCTCATTTTTTGGAGTTTGCCCCTTCTACTTTTTGCAAAAGCAACTTTGACTTGGTAAGTTACTTTGTATTTCTAATCGAGGCTAGCCCAGACAAAACTAGTTGCTCATATAATTAAATGGTGTCTGATATTATACTTGGAATAACTACTAGTAACAGTTTTGTAGGACCATGTAGCCTATTTCATTCTTGCTGTTGTGATATCAAGTCATTTAAATTATTTATGTCATTTTCACTTGAACAAGAATGTGTTTGTTACCATTTTGGAACAGTAAACAAAGATACATAGACAAATGTCTTGGATATGTGTGTTGGCCCATACGGTATTCCTGAAAAATACCTGAAAGCCAAAACTCGAATTTACACTCTCAAAAAGAAAAAAAAAGTGCATAAAAAGTATGCATTCAGGCGTACAGCTTTTGACTGGGGACAACAATGTACCCCTGTACCCCTCATCAATGTTTTTTTTTCTCCCAGTGTACATTCATGATTACAATTGTAAGTGTTTAACATTCATTGGGAATTGTACTTGAGACTGCAAGCGGAGAGAAAGGGGTCCGTGGGCCGATCTAAAAAGCACTTCAGGATGTCAGAATCCTTAAAACTACAGAAGGAACAGCAGCAACGGGACCTTGCGACACACTATGAGAGCACCTATCACCAAGGCTCCCTGTCATCTGTTAGCCGCCAGTCTTATGCTGCTTATGTGAGCAGCCATGGGTAAGAGGACATAGGGGACATTGTCCCTGTGCTCATGCTGCCCTGAAGAATGGCCCCTATAGAGCAACCCACTCACAAGTGCTGCTTTTTATACCAGTGCTTTTATAACACATTCCATGCTGCTTACTTGAAAATGTGTGCATCATATGAAGTACCTACCATAACCCTTTCATTATAACCTTATGATGTTTGTTTGCTTTAAAATAGATCAACAAAGTACGCTAATGAACGCTAATGCATTTTCTTTCATTATCTGTTATCAGTTTCAGTTTGTGATGACCACAAATTATGTCAGAGCTTGGCGATTGCAATGACAAAACAATAATCAAACCAATTACAACATAGATTCTAAAATCAAGTCATCTACAAAACAACTTTGTTTTTCTGTGGCAAATGCAGAGATATGTATTTTCATCTTTCTTATTTAAATATTTTTGTGTAAATAATCATTGGTGCTGTATGCAGATGCTGTTGTGTGCTGCAGTTTAACAAGCAAAAATATGTCACTTCCTTTATAGAGAAATTGATTTTTAATGATCACGTATAAACCCTTTAAAGGGGTCATATGATGCTATTTTAAAGATCATTATTTTGTGTATTTGGTGTAACAGAATATGTTGATATGCTTTAATGTTCAAAAAACACATTATTTTTCAAATACTGTACATTATTGTAGGTCCTCTATGCCCCGCCTCTCTCAAACACATCGTTTTCAACAAAGCCCCCTCCTTTGACGCACAGCCAGCCTTGTACTCTTCTAGGTTCAAAAAAACTGTCGTCCATAAAATGCGTTGCACAAATTCGAACATCTGGGTTGTGCTGTTCTGTTGTAAATAAATCTTAACCAATGATTCCTAATTGCATCTACTTCCGGAAGGCCAAATAAAGTGCTTTTGCTTTCGCACTGAATCACACAGCGTCTCCCTGACATGGCTGCATCAACACTACTGCTGTCCCTGAAACCACACCTTCTTTCTTTGCGTGCACATTTGGGCGGCATTATGCTAATATTTCCACATAGTGACGTAGACATGTGGGGGCGTGTTAGAATGAGCCGTTTTAGGTAGGCGTGGTTGACTCTTAACTTTGATAAAGAATATCTCTTTGGATTTGAGACTTTAGTCTTTGCAGCTTTACAGATCTTCTTTATGCACCAAGAGCTTGTAACACTCCAAAGACAAAGGAAAAATTAAAATCGCATCATATGACCCCTTTAAACAATGATATATGCTTTTGTAGAAGCCTTAAGTCACTGTCATTTTAGTTTTTAAGGTGTAGTTTTTAAGGTGTTTAATAGCCAAATTCCTGTTTAATAACTTAACTTCAGCATCACTTCACCAATCAGAAAAGTTACTGTTGCCATGGGAATGAATATTGCTTCTAAAGTGCTCAGCAGCGAACACCCATTCACGTGACACAAAGCAGATTTTCCCTATACTCTCAAACTGCTTATATATTTGTATATTGTATATATCTGTATGATGCAGTGCCTCACATTTACTTCATTGGTTGGGCAAATATAGCTGTCTGACTGATTCTCCCTTTGTTTAGACTATAATTGGTTTGTAATGTTGTGATCTACCTCTTCGCTAGTTGATTTGGTTCATAGCTTAAAACTTTTTATTTATTTTTTTTTTTTTTTTTTGAGATCCTTATGGAGAGCATGCATGGAAAAAAAATACTTCTAAGAAATAAGCCAGCTGAGTGTGCGGCGGCTTTTGTGCTTTCTTGATGCTCATATACATTGGTACTATGTTTATAAATGTTTAGGTCAGACTCCTTTGTTATAGAGGAACATATGTGCTGTTGAGGACTGCATGATGCCATGACCCTGTGGCTGGAAGTATTTGAGCCTCTGTGGGAGTGAGCCAAAGTTATTAATGGTCTTAGAGATTATTTATGGTCACTGAAACTTGAAATCACAGTAGTTGAGCTGGACTGTAACTGTACATAAACTGTACAAGTTAGTTCATTCAAAAATGAAAATGCTGCCATTTACTCACGCTTGTTTTTTTACAAGTCTGTATGATTTTCTTTCTTTTGTGGGGCATAAAAGAAGACACTTTTGAAAGTCATACAGGCTTGTGACGACATAACGCTAAATGATGAAACAATTTGAATTTTTGTTGAGCTATCCGTTTAAGGTAGAACAGTATTGGTGCTCTCAGAAATCTGATATTGTCATATTATTTACCAGTTATGACAATTTATTAGTATTTCTGATGGTTGTTATTTGTGCAGAAATTGCCACATGTACGCTTTGAATATGGCAAACCAAACCCTAATATGGTTCATATAATTTTTTACAGCTGTAGAATATGTTCCTGACAGCAATTTTAAATTGTTTGCCTATAGTTGTTCAAGAGAACAATTTGCAAAATATGCATTTTGTATTATTGAAACAATCAGATGGATTGGAAGCCACTGTAATCCCAAAATATTTTGTAACAGTCTAAGAGATAAAAGGATCAGCCTCTCAAATAGCAGACAGAGCTCTGTGTTTTATCTATAAATCAGTCCAAAGCCCATAATGCCGGTGGCAGTTGTGAGTGAGTGTTAGGATCATATGCATACTAAATGGATTATCTCCGGCTGACATGACATTTCACGTAATGTTTGTTTCCAGCTAGTCATGATCTTTCTTGATCACAATTAACAAAATTTGCATTAAAAGATAAAGAAAATGTCATGTAGTATTACTTTTTTGGAATATTTTTGGTGTGCTAATGAGGAATGTTGTAATATGGAGGATGTTCACATACACAGTAACAATATCCTGGAGTAATTTATATTGATTTAATTGCTTTAATAAGCTACAGTGCTGCTTATCTCAGGCGTTTTGAGTTGTTTTCTTAATAAATTCTTAATATAGTGGATGTCTCTGCTAATATTTACTTTCCACTAACACACTAAGATTGACTTTCAAGTGACTCTATTCCATCCTATTTCATTAACCCTGCTGAAATATTGAACATTTTGTTCCATTGGCATTAAGAAGAAAAAAACAAATTTGTTTTTGATGGAATAATGGAAAAAAAGGATTTTCAGCCATATACAAAATCTTTGATGCATTTTGCCATATAATCCAACTGTTTGTTTATTGGTGTTGTTGATGCTCACTGTTGTTTAGGCACAAGATTTCAAAGAAAGAGAAGAAACTGAGTGCTTTCTCTAAAAAAGAAAAGCGCTCGTACCTGGCTGTGGACAACGAAGACGAAATCATTGGATACGTTGTGCCAGTCTTCAGAAGCAGGTGATAGCATAGTTTACTCAATGGAGTTTTACATTTGATAATTACAGTTGATGTGTAATGTCTGTTTGTGAAGGTTCTGTTGATTAATCTAATCGATTAATTTTGGCACACGGAAGAACACATGCCTTTTTTGATTTGAGCAAATGTAAACTTATAATTATTATAATTATTGTTACTTTGTATTTTTAATTATGAAACTATATATTTATTTGTCTAAATTGTATCTGTCCAATCAAATCACACCCTTTGC